AAAAAAAAAAAAAAAACAAAAAAAAACAGCACAATGGGTCATCCTTTTATTAATAACTATCCTTTTTAATCCTTACAAAAACACCAAATAAAACAGAACTTCATGGATACTTCTTTAACATGTTTACTAAATATAGTGTATTACTTATTTGGGAAATAGATACTCTTTCTTCTTATATGGGCACCGGTCCTCCTATATTCCCATTAATACTTTCAGGAAGAAAGGGATCAGGTGGCTTGGTTGGAAAGGTACATAATATGGAGTACAGGATGTCAACCAGCAGTCTACAGCTGTGATCTTTGTGGCTTGCAATGTTTTCAAAACATTTGAGGCGATATTTAAAAAATCAAGCAACTTTACATAAAATCCAGATTCCAGGCTTTTCATTAAAAACAGTAGGGATTATTGCTACTGGCCCACACTGTGTGCAACAATAATCAATCAGAGCTGAAAAACAGCTGTACACACGATCTCCCTAACCTACAGTGCCCACCAATCCCTACGTCACGCCTCCTACCACTCAGCGGGCCTCATTCAGTAAGGTTACTTGTCTGGCCCTGTAGGTATTTGCTGTTGTGATATAGAGAAGAGAGCCAGGCATCAGAACCTTGATTCAACCCTATGATTACTAAAGGAACAGGACATCATCACCAATGCTATTAGGAGGAAAAAGACAAACTCAGTTATATCCAGAAGAAATGCCCTTTGCTCACAGAGAAGTAGTTACAGTGCTTGTCACATGTCTGCCTTTCCTGTCCAATTATTATCACAATGATGGCAATTCTGTTTACTCAACTCTGAATCCCTAGAATCCAGCACAGTCTCTGGCACATAGGGGATGCTCAAAGATCTATGGAGTAAATGAATGAACAAGCAAAAATATGCATGAATTAACAGTATTTGAGGTTCAGTATGATGCTTCCAGAGTTTGGCTAGACACTTGTTAGCCTGGATGTAAATTTAGTTTTGTGAATCATCTTTAAACATCAAGTAGAAATGCATAAAGCCACGCTCCAACTTAGAACATAATTTCATTTACAGGGAACAAAGAAAATACTACTGGATTCTCTTTCTGGTAACACCAAGTAAAAGTTTAACAGTGGGAGAGAAAAGCATTTTGCATCACTTTCTCACAGCAACTCCCTAGAAACCACCATGCATGTTCAGGTTGGTTTTATCATTTGTCCTTACCTTTCTACAACATGATTAAAACACAGTTCGGCTTGCAAGGGCCGCTGTAAGCTCTTGAGGCAGCATCCTTTAAGTAACTTTACTAAGCACTCATCATCCACAGAGAAGTCATGAAAGTCTTAAAAAACAGACACACAAAGAAAATTATCTTTAAAAATCCTAATTAAAAGGAAGAACTAACAGCTATTAGGTTTCAGAGGCATCAGTCAAAAACAAGGAAAATACTTTTAGCATTTGTTATGCCTCACTAACTAAAATACAATGAAATTATTTAAATTAAAAGAATGCTGAATTTACTGTATTAGTACAAAACATTCTTCAGGTGGTCAACTCTCCGAGTTTTATGACCTTTCACACAACAGGAAATCTGAACTCGAAATAAGTACAAGCTTTATTAATTCTATAAAAGGTAAAGCCACGAGGAACAGGAAGGCTGCCTCCTCCTGTTGTTTTGGCTTCTGCGTTGGCTTCAATGCAGAAGAGGATAACACTTCCATATGGAGAAGCAGATGGCCATGTACCCATTAAAAATTCAGGAAGTAGAATACCCTCTTCAGATCATTATGTTTACAACTTAGCAATTCTCCCAGGTTATGTTCTTTTTGGGGGAAATCATATCATAAAATTAGACAAAAGGGTTCTGAAGTACATGAAAGGCACCTAAAATCCCCACAAACTTCTAACTGCTTGAGGGTAAAGGATTTTCTTTCACCGCTTTTTTCCCTTTTGAAAATGGCTCTTTGCCTTCTACAGCCCACAGCAAATACATCGTGAACAGAAGGAACCATATCACATGTGACATCTATCTGACAAAGGTAGCCATTCTGCATTTACCACTTTTGCATTTTTTTTTCCTTTTGCAAGTAACATGCAACTAAGAAGTCATTCCAAAACAGACCGATAATTTACACATTTCAGGCTGTGACAATGGGCGGATGGTCTGGGGGGGGGGCAGGGGCGGTCAGGAAAGGGGACTAATGAGGCCCTCAGAGTCCCTCATATCCAAATCCTCCTGCAGTTAGTACACACCTCAGAACTCACCATTAACACATGCTGATGTTTTAGTTGGTGCACTGCTTGTCTACGGGAGGTTAACGATGCTACTAAGCCAACTACAAAGGGTCACTTTACTTCTAGGTGCTGGAAACAGTGGATGTTCACCTCTAACTTTCAAACTCTGATAGGTCACTCACCAAGAAAATCACAGATATGAATATCACATTACCTTTTCTATTACTTATTTAGGACAATTTTCTATCAAAAAAAAATCTATCCATGCTTCTAATCATGGATGTTTGTTGAAATATACACTGAAGAAGCAGTATCTCTTAGGACCTAGAACCAAAGCCATAGGGTCCATATTGGATGCTAGTTTTTGGTATCATTTTTGTGCATTCTACTGCATTTCCTGTAGCATTTTATTAACAGTTTGTGTTATGACAACACTCTGGTGCTCAGTGAATGATGATTTTGCTGAGGAATAGACACAACATCATGGAAAGTTAAAGTACCAGTAAAATCACACTTAACTTTTATGTAGCTCTTGAGTTAGAGATTTGGCAAACGGGTTCAAAAATACCACATTCCTCCAAAAACCTCAGAAAGCAAAACCATTATTTCCTCAGGCTACAGACCACTCACTATCTGCCAGATAATTATTTTCCCTTAAAATATAAATGCTTTGTCATGGTTTTCAGCCTCATGAATGAGTTCACAGATGAATCTTTCAACAAAGTCTCTGTTTTACACTCAAAGAAAACTACATGATAAAGTTGCCAAAGCACAATTTTATCACAAAAGATCTGCTGAACATAATAAAATGGTGGGTAGCCTGAGGAAAAAGGAAGTTTGAAGCCCAACCTACAAAAATATCTACATTGAACTTAGAAACTAGTTGAAATGTCCCCAAGAGAAAATTTTGAAAACAGATCTAGAAAGTGAAAAGCCATAAAGTCAGTAACACTTTTCCTTTTACATAACTCTGATTACATTTGTGATATAATTTCACCAAGCAAACTAACTGCAACAAATAGCCAAAGTGGAACTGCTATACCAACTGCTGGCTATATGTTGCATTTAGTTAGATTGCAATGAAACACTATCGGGATTAACACCAAATGCTGCCTCCAGAGATGCCTGTCCGTCTTCAGAGTTCTACCCATTGTATTGGTGACCAGCCTTTAAAAGCTATGGTCAGAGCACTGCAGAGTAGAAGATCAGTTGTATCCTCTACCATCTTTTACTTTAGGCATACTTCCCAAAGCTGGGAGAAGCAAAAACACATCCACTTTCTAATGATGGGGGTGGGGTGAAAGACGATGTAACCTCAGGCTTACAACTTCTATCCATTTTCCAATTATGGACCTTTTCCTCCCACTCTGAAGAACAGGAGCTTAATTACTAACAGTTCAAGGTAGTGGGGGAAGGAGGAAAGATAATCTTCCTGCATAAAATAACAGTCCTGGATGAGATCATAAATTTTATATGCAACATCTGGCAAAGGTGACCTTCAGAAAATAAAGTAATTCTTTCACCCAGAGAGAGGACTGCACTAAGTATAGCGTGTCTGTCTGTCTGAGCTTCCCCCAACTCTGCTTAAATATCTCTTAAGCCCATCATCTCAATTTGTCGTTAGAAGAAAAAGTAATGGGAGAAGAGGGATTTGCTTTTCTAAATCTCCTATGCATTTTATTAATACAAGCATAGTCCGATGCATGTATTTCTTCTAATTTTTCCCCCAACCAATGGAGAGGCAAAATAAACTGGGGTAGAGGGTAAAGAGCCTGTTCAAATAGAGAAAATCCTAATGGTCCTTACAAATTTCAGAACTTCATGACATACAAAGGCCCCACTCCCTTGGTGGTACCTATTAGTCCATGCTATCTAGAATGGACATTCAAACATCAAAACCGATTCTACTAAATCCTTACCTTTGTAGAAAAACAGAAGACGCAAGCTGGCCTGTTCTTCTGGAGGCAAAAGGTACCCTACAAATGTTTTCACTTAATAAAAAGAGGTTTTCCTTTGGTTCTCAGTTTTCACATATCTACTTTCTTATTTACTTATTAATATCTATTTAGAGATGAGCTTTCACTGCTACCCCGGCTGTTCTCTAGCTCCTGAGTTCAAGTGGTCCTTTGGCCTCAGCCTCCAGAGTAGCTGGGATCATTGCACCCAGCAATATCTACCTATTTTAAAACATATTCTTTTATTCATTTAGTTTGCACATATGTGGGTTTTAATCATAGATAATTCCCTTAAGGGCAGGAACAATGCTTTCTCTATCTATTATAAGCCTATATCTGTATGGAAATACTAAGGGTATTCAAATGAGCAATTAATGAAAGTAGCCAAATTATTTGAATAAAAATGAATACTAGTAAATTTGTTCAAAAGCCCAAATGGATTTTACCAAAATTAATCTTGTGAAATCTCATTTTTTAAGGTGAACTTTCATATATTTTCATTTCATTTGAATATCAAAATGATATGTTGATTTCTACTCAAGTCAAAAGAAAATATTTTTCCTTTCTGAAATGATTTCACATTAAAAATAGTAAAGATCACCTCACATCCATTAGTACGTCTACTCTCAAAAAAAAAAGTGTTGGTGAGGATATGGAGAAATCAGAACCCTTATTTCATTGTTGGTGGGAATGTAAAATGGTATAGCTGCTATGGAAAACAGTATAGTAGTTCCTCAAAAAATTAAATTAAAAATAGAAATACCAATTGATCCAGCAATTCCACTTCTGGTTATATACCAAAAAGAACTGAAAGCAGGGTCTGGAAGAGATATTTGTACCTTCATGTACCTAGCAGCATTATTAACAATAGCCAAAGGGTACAAACAACCCAAATGTTCACTGACAAATGAACGCATAAACAAAATGTGGTATATACATATAATATTACATAGCCTTAAAAAGGAAGGAAATTCTAACCCATACTACATGGTTGAACCTTGAAGACTTTATGCTAAGTGAAATAAGCCAGTCACAAAAAGACAAATCCTTTACGATTCCATTTATATCAGGTATCCAGAGTAGTCAAACTCATAGTAACAGAAAGTAGAATGGGAGCTGCCAGGGGCGGGCCGGAAAGGGAGGACTGAGGAGTTATTGTTTAATGGGTATGAAAAAGGTCTGAAGATTTTTTGCACAATGATGTGAATATATGTGACACTACAGAACTGTACATTTACAAATGATGAAGATGGTAAATTTTATATTATGTGTATCTTACCACAAATATAAAACATTTTTAATAAAAAGATACAATTGTAAAAAAAAAAAAAAAAAAGGAAATTTATCACAACTCCATGCTGATAGAAAGCAACATACAGAAAATATGTTAGTACTGGAAATCTAGAAGAACACACAAAGAAAGTCTGAAATGGCCGGCCACAGAGCAAGTCTGTAGCCTGCACTTACACATTTGCTCCTAGGGTTCTTTGTTAAACAGTACAAATTTTCAAGTGTATAACTTTACTGTGAATGGGGGAGCAAGAAGAAAGAAAAAGGGAACCTTGGTTCTTTTAAAACAGTGCCACCTGTAATATGGAAAGGTGATATTACTCACCCCTCATCAACTGATGAGCTTGGCATGTGACCGTTTTCAACAGTGGAGTAGAATACTCCACTCACCTGGTCTCCCTGTGACCACCGGTCTGTATTTGCAAGATGGCGCATGGAGGTGAGGACAGAAGAGTGTCTGTGGCCTCAGAGCAGCATGTTCTCTTTGTTCTATTTGACTCTGCAGCTGTCCAGCCTGAAACCTGGACCTTGCTAGTAGATAAGCCCACTGACTCAGCTTTCATTCTTTTATTTCTTCTCCTATTGATGGACAGAAATCTAAAGCTAGGATTATTTTAAATAGGTAAAGCAGCCTAAATGCCCAATAATACTGAAAGAATTGATTAAATTATGATACATTAGCTTCGTGGAGAGCTATGAAGCTTTTGAAATTCATAAAGGCTATTTACCAAAACTTTAAAAGCTTATGATATGTTAAATAAAAAAAAGTAGGCTAGTATATATCTAGGTACACTGTGCCTAGATATTTTTATATTTTATATAAAAATCAGGCTAGAATGGAATATACAGAAATTCTAAATTGTGCTATAGTAGCAATAATGAGTGACTTTTTTCTACCTATACCTAAGAATTATAATTATGTGTTTAACTTTAAAAGAATTATTGTAAAGAGAAATCTCATTAAACATTTTGGCTTGATACCATAGCTACAAGTACAAGAAAAGACCCAAATGAAATCCTCATCCCTGGAGCCATCTCCAATCATTTCATCCCCGCTGTGGGGAGTATATTGAGGATGGAGCCAGGGCTCCTGGAATGCCCATCTTTTTCCAATTAAGAAAAATAAGTTAACTGCTATAATTTTCCCCCACTATTCCTAAATTTCTATGCCCTTCACCATGTTTATCACCCCAGAAGTTTTCATTTTACTTCTGTAGTTAGACTATTCAAAAAGAAAAGATCACTACATCTTAGGATATACCTAAGTGACTTGGTACTGATAAGGAATATAACAAAGGCTATCATTTATGGCATTGTTTATCAAAAGATAAAGCCTCTATTAAAAATACAGAATCAAAAAATGTCAGAGCTCCTGCTCTCCTTGATGAACATGAAAAAAAAAGTCAGAGCAAGAAAACAACTTTGGATATCATCTGGCCCAACACTGCTCTTTTTCAAAAGAAACCAGATGTGTTCCCCAGAGTCTAATCACTGCAGAGCTGGGACTATAAACCCAGATTGCCTGATTCTCTGTATCAGCTCCTTCCAGGAAATGGAACTTCCAGTAAACTGGAGGGGGGCCTCCAGCACAACCCAAGGTAATGAGTAAAACCATTAAATTGTGATAAGATTCCAACTTGAAAACTATTCCCGGTGTCTGCAGAAACACTAGCTGTTAGCAATAAGGAGGAACAGAAAGGCAAACTAAAACCAGAAGGAAGTGCACACTGTCCTTGTGCTGCTCTAGAACCCTAATGCCTGTCTTCCTCCCTTCATCTATTTTCCTAGCAGTTTTAAGATATAGTTCACATACCATATAATTTACCCATTATAAGTAGGCAATTCAGTGGTTTTTGTATAGAGGTGTGTAACCATCACCATTATCAATTTTAGAACATTTTCATCACCCCCCCCATTCCTTCATCTCTAGGCAACCATAATCTACTGTCTTTATAGATCTGCCTATTCCGTATGTTTCTTATAAATGCAATCATACAATATATGGTCTTTTGTGGCTGGCTTCTTTCACCTAGCCCAATGTTTCCAAGGTTCATCCATGCTGCAAGTATGTATCTTGTCTCCCTTCATCTTGCTTGCAGTCACCCAGACACCTGCAGCTCAAGCTCTTTGTCCTCACGATGCACACAAATTAACACAGGCAGCGTGCACAGGGAAACACAGGAGAATGGTAACGGAGCACAAAGATTTCTAGGTGCTTACTTCTCATACTTACTTTCATTTTGTAAAGCAGCCTCAGCCTTTTCAACAGTTACCAACAGATTTTCAGAAAGGTCTTTTCTTTTGCTCACTATTGAAAAACCATTCCAGACATACATCATTTCCTGATGAGGAAAAATGAAAACCATTTGCAATTATGTGAGGTTATTCAATGTCCTTAATGATCACAAAACTATGTACGTATGTTTTGCCTTGGTTGCTAGGGATCTCAAGACAGTATATAGAGATCACTTTCCTTAGCTTTTGCTTTTTATACTGTGAAGAAATTCAATATATATATTATGCATTTACTGAAAAATTGATTTATTCATTCATATAAAAAATACTCATTAGGTACCTACTGTTATTTGATTCTTCTGGAAGATAATAGAATACAGATACAGTAATAAATATTTTAAACTGCTCCCATGAACAATTCTGTTTAATGTAAACTTTTGTTAAAGTAAAGGAAAATATTTTAAAATGTCTGCCAGTTGTTTATATAAAATGTTTCCAAGAATTTCACTGGAAATGAACACTGGAATATTTTACTGGGCTTAGGTTCTTTTATACCATTAAAAACATGTGACAGTCCAGTAATGCAATCCAATATGCAGAAAACGCATTCATTTAAAGGCCATATGGCTGAATGACAGCTCTTGAAAATGTAAACTAATGATTTCTCATTGCAGATTATATTTAATGGGCTAACAGATGAGAATTTTTTTTTTGGACCAAAAGCAAATGTGCTTTTACTTGAAAATATTTTTCTAATGTTCCTGATAGTGCAGTTTATATTTTTGAAGAGTACAAAATAAGGGTAATTAGTATCTTCTTGAAAATAAATGAATTTTAAAATATGATAAAAAATATTGCTTGAAAAGCCTCTTACCAGGGAAGTAGTAGAAATGAAGAAGACATTCAGGTAGAGTGGCAGCAAAGTTATCTTTACTTTATGGTACTGAAAACTATGATCATGACACTCTACCTTCCATTTGACATATAATAATTTATTGCTAAAAGAGCAAGAGCTAGATTCAATAACTGATGGAATATTTTTATTTAATTGATGCTAATGATCTTTAAAATTTTTTTATTGATGGAATATTTTTTACCAGAAGGAGGCAAGCTCATGTCTGAGATGTTATGAAAAAGAGGCTTTTGGTAAAATTCTTCGGTACCCCCTCCCCCCAAAAAAATCCTAGGTACTGCTAATTCAAGCCAATTTCTTGCACAGTCTGTATCCATAGACCTGGAGAAAGAGGTGCAGTGAGTTAATCTTCCTTAAGATTTTTAATAGTGAAAGACAGACACACTTAAGTATACACTAGTATCTAAGTACTAGGGCAGTGGAAGAACTATGATGGTCTAGAAAATTTTCAGGAAAGTTCTGTGAGAAAGAAAAGCTTTCCCGGTGCAAATCACTTGCTAAAAATGAATTCGGCACGGAGCTAAAGCTGTGGTTGATAGAGCAGCAGCAGGCTCTCATGTGAGCTGGAAGAAGGGGATGTTGGTTATTTTTGTGATTTACAGAGTTTTCTTGTTTCTATCTGTGCTCATACAGAATTACAGAATGGTCATATTTTTGTCTCGCTCCATCACAGTCACAGAACAGCCTTGTCTGATGTCAATTTTCTCAGAGATTGTCTATGTTCAGTAGGAAACACCTGGGCCTAGGTGCTAGTTGCAGGTTAGCTCTTAACTGACACCTATCAGCTGCAATCTTCTTTTTCATAGAATGTTTAAAGAGCTCTGGTAGGTCACTAATAAAACAAACAACTCAATGAAAACTAAGGAAGAATATGAACAATTTACAAAAGAAATAAAAATGAATAAACACGCGAAAAGATGTTCCATCACACCAATAGAGAAATACAAACTTAAATGGTAAAACATTGTTGGTACTAACTTAAATTGGAACAGCTTTTTGGGAGGGAAACTTGGCAATATTTACCAAAATATTAAATGCATACATACCCTTCGACAAGGAATTCCAGTTCTAGAAATCTTTCCCAGAGAATTATATGCACACATACAAAAACAGGATATTCATTGTAGTGTTTCTAATAATAAAAACTGGAAAAACCTAAATGACTGTCAAAGGGGAATAATTAAATAAACTCTGGAATTAAAAAAAAAAAAAAGATTCAGGAGAGCCCAAAGGAGGACTACAAGCATCACTTGCATCAAGTAGCTTTCCTGTGCCGACTACCTATGCAAAAAATAAAGCCCTAGAACAGTCAAAGTAATTTGATATATTCAGTATTTTTTGCAGAAGACTTCATTAAGAAAATTTAAGTTGAAATTGCACTTTTCACAGAAGACTTGCCTAAAATGGCATACCAATTAAGAATGTGAGTTGGACACCAGCCACTTGTAGCTCTTGGGCATTGGAAATATGAAATGTCCAAACTGAGATGTCCTCCAAGTGTGTGAGACACACCAGATTTCAAAGAATTAGTATAATATAAAAGAATGTGAAATCTCATAAGTTTTTATCAATTACATGGTGAAATGACAAAATTTTGCATATACTGAGTAAAACAAAATATATTCTTAAAACTAACTTCATGTTTCCTTTTACCTTTTTAACGTGGCTTTTAGAAAGTTAGAAAAGGTAAAATTATATATGTGGTTTACATTGTAATTCAACTTGACTTCAATGAAGTCAACTTTACCACTCTCGGTCTGTAAAAAGGGGCCAAGAAAACTGTAAGAGTTATTATGAAAATTAAATGATATGTTTTTAATAGCTTTATCATAATGCCTGAAACATACCAACTAGTCAGAAAATATTAGCTACAATTTTTATTTATTATTTATAAATGTTCTCCTTACAATAACGCTCATAATGGTTTTTAATTAAGCTGAACTTCACAACCAAAGTTAGATATGCTCCCCGCAGCTGTGAATAGATAACTTATTTCTAGTACATGTACAGTAAATAAGATAAAAGCGGATACCAGGGCAGGCAAGACAAGCTTCACAGGTACAGGCAAGGAGGCAGAGTAGCGTCGAGCCTTCCTCACAGCAAACTTCTCCGTAGGGAGAGATTTACCAGCAATCCTCTGCTTCAAGCCGTCCACCTGTCTGCGAAAAGCCCGAGGCCCAGTGAGAGGTCATCAGAGCACAGACATTATTTACACCTGTGGTTTTCACGCCACAGCATCAGCAGCACCTGGGAGCCTGTTCGAATTGCAAGTTTTCAGGCCCTACTAGGACCTACTACTGAATCAGCAGTTCCAGGGGTGGACCCAGCAATCGGGGTTTCGATACAACCTGTAGGTGACTGATGTGCACTCAAGTTTGAGAACCACTGATTGACGCATATTTCTTTCTGGTCAACTTAGCTAATGTCTTAAATTTAGCAAATACGGTCCAGGTAATCTAGTTGTAAAATTGGTAATTTCTATAAATAAACAGGCACAAGTCCAAAGTATTTGCTTATATTGTGGATACCCAGAGGGAGGGAAGAAGATACACTGAATATTAAGCATTCCTATTTGTAAGTATGACAGAGATCTATAAAATAATACAGCTCAAAAGGCAGCCATTGATTAATGTACAATTGGAGAAAATGTTTCCCAAGCATAGGTGATTTTGGAAATAATCAGCTTAGGATATGTGCCATGTGTATAAACTTCTCAAAATTCTAAGGAATTCCAATTATAAAATTCACAAGCATGTAAAATTGAGAGTGGATGGGAAGACTACAGGTTCCTGGGAGCACTTTCATATATATAACTTTATGAGTGCATCAAACGAGTTGCTAAGAAAGGATTCAAGGAAATACCCAATTACAACACTGAAAGAAAGAGTAAGATGAAATAAGAGAAAAAAAAATCCAGTATGAGGTGAGCTTGTATTAGGTTATTTCTGGGCACAATATGGGGGTATGGATTTTATACCAGAATGCCCCATCACTTGATGTCCATTAATATCAGTAAAAGAGGCAGTGGAAGTGTGAGGTGGGGCCAGGGAGGGGGAAGCATGCCTTAGACATGAACCCTTGTGGTTTAAAGATCATATCGTCTGTATGAAGAGAACAGTCATTGTTAGCACTCTCCTCTCACTATCCCAACAACGATGTTATGAAAGAGCGGACCTCAAGCTTTCTCCTGAAAATAAGAATGATTACATCTTTCCCATAAATTTTTTGATATGGAAAATACTTAATCTGAAGTTGAGGAAATAGACTAGATTTAAAAGACTTTAACAATTCCATTAATTGTTGTTTATGTGAAATAAGGAAATGCATTTTACAGTAAGAGGTGACATTTATCATACCACGGCTTCTATTAATGTTGATTCTACAGTTAATATCCATGGTCCTATTTTTAAGAAGAGCCTTTAAAAGGAGTTGAAAAAAATGTCAGATTTGTTCTGATAAGTCAGAGGGTTCAGCTAAACCATTATTTCTCAAATGCGGCCTACAGAGTACAGTATTCCATTTAAAAGGGGTGGTCATCAGCTATGGTTGACTAATGCAGTGGGGCCTCTCGGTTCCTTGACTTCCTCATCTCCAGTGGTGTCTCCTTTCTACCTCAGGGACTCACACCTTAGACCATGACCTGTAACTTTTCTACTGCAAAGCACAAATTCAAGCCCACCACCCTTGGAACACCATTCTCTTCACTCTAATTCCCGTTCTGTTAAGACTTTCAGTCCCCTTGTCCTTCAACTGTGTGCTAGTCCAGCAGCTTCCTCCTTTCTCCCTGTCCCTTCATATTCCTGCTTGGGCTGCACTTGCCTTTACTGCTGCACTCCTGTCTGGCAGCAGGAGTGCATTTCCTAAACTCCCCTGTCTACAGCCTAGTCCTGACACGTATCTGGCACAAACCCAGCCTTGGATGAAGCTCAGGGCCCATGTCCCCTGCAATTGCACCAAGAGCAGGTTGGCATTACTATCAAGTCGTCATCAACCTCAAATGGGCCCCTGCACTGCCTGACATTCCCCCTACTGTGTTTCTCTCATCACCTCACTGCCCCACTCTCTGCAACACAATGAATTCATTCTCCACCCTCTTCAAGTCCTCCAGCCCTCTCCCTTCTCCCTCACTCTCAGCAGATGACCCTGCCTCCTACTTCATAAAGAAAACAGATACTGCGAGGTGGGAACTCCTCACCTCATGCTACCACCCGGAAGCCTGCCTACCTCTGCACCTGTTCTGGACTCCTTCCCTTCCAATACCACGAAGACCAGGACTGGACCCTCCTCCTGGATAAAGCCAATCCTGCCACTAATGATTTGGACTGTATCTCCTCTTGCCTTCTCAGGAACCTTACAATATCAGTTATCCCATTTCTTGCTTATTTGCACAACTTATCCTCATTAGATCCTTCCCAGTGGGGTTTGGGAATGCTTAAATCTTTCCCGTTAAAATATTCCTTGACCTTGTATCTCCTTCCAACTATCACTCTCTCTCTCCCCTTCCCTTCATAGTCAACGTAATTCAGGGATGCAGTTATGCTCACTCTCTCCATTTCTTTATTTTTCATCAAGTCTTCAACCAACTCCAGTCTGGTTTCCACTTCCATTCTTTTATCTTATAAGCTCTTGCTAAGGTTACTAATGACCCCTGTAACACTAAATACATATTAAGTCTTATTTTAAAATGGAATATACATTGAAAGTACTATGGACTGAATGTTTGTGCCTTCCAAAATTCATATGTTGAAATCCTAACCTCCTATGTGATGGGATTAGGAGGTAGGGCCTTTGGGAGGTTCCATGGGAGTTCATGAGAGTGGAGACCTCATGAATGGGATTAGTGCCCTTTTAAACACACAAGAGAACTTGATTTTTCTCTCCCTGCTCGCCACCATGTGAGGATACAACAACAAGCCGTCCATCTTCAAATCAAGAAGTGGGCCCTCAGCAGATATCAGATCTACAGGTTCCTTTATCTGGACTTCCTAGACTTCAGAACCACAAGAAATAATTTCTATTGTTTAAGCCACACAGTCTATAGTATTTTGCAATAGCAGCCTGAACTAAGATTGTCATTCTTGCCATTTGTTTTCCTTTGACCTATACATACACATCTACACACACACATAATGGAGCACCATGTCCTGTCCATTATCACCTTTTAGTTCTTTAAATGTACAATGCTCCTTCCTGCAACAGGTCCTCTCTCACGCTGTTCCCTTGCTCTGAAACTGCATCACCACCACTCCCCACTGCCACAGCAGCTCCCCTCCACCTTCAGCCTTCACCTGGGCCAGCATTCCCTATATGCTCTTACACACAGATTCTAAGGGAAAAAATTAGCCATGTGTTGTAATTTTACATTTATTTGTGTGACTATTTCATTGATGTCTGATTCCACTACAAGATCACAAACTCCACAAAGACAGGGGTCACACACCTACTTATTCAGCATGTAACAGTATCGTTCACAGAGTAGGTGCTCAACAAAAAGGTGATGGATGGATGGATAGATGAAATAAGAGTTAAACAGATTATAACAGAGTTTTTCCAAATCTTTAACAATACTAATAAGCACTATGGAGATGTCATACTGTGTGTCAGTTTTCACAGAATACCTTTGATTCACAGCAATAGTTAACATCTTTTGTAACAACACCAATTTACAAAACTGTCTTCAAAATGCAGTAGCAAAGTCCCAACAATAAAACCCTACTCCCAAAATATAACAATGTCTTCTCTACATTCCTAATCACACCAGCATATCTGCAAAATCCTGCTAAAAGAATGACATTTTGACTCTTGGCTAACTGTACTCTTTTAAGGATTCCCACATCACATGAGTAGGAAAGTTACAGAAATATGAAAGTGAAGCATGGGGGAGCATTCAGGAAAAACAGACGGAAGATATAATTGTGTGCCCCTTCATACAGCCAACGTCTTTGTTATAGAAATAGTAGCTTGCTTACCTGAATAAAGTTACCACATTCTCATTAGTTGCTAATACATCCTCCTCTGGAAGCATACTCAAAATTGCAGCTTTCAAAAACACATAAGTTGCCTTAAGAAAATGAAGAAAAGGAGCTTGTTACAGAACAACCCTAGGTACCTTGCAAATCAGGAATGACCTACAAATCTTCCAGATATAATGTTAAGAAGCATCAAAGAAATCAAAGGAAATAAAGTTTTACACTTCTTGTTCAAAATGAGAACAATACTTTTCAATTAATTTAGACCATTTTCCTATTACCCAACTACAGCATTCATGGGTAAGAAAGTAGACAGAATGAACAAGAGATCATTATCTCCTTCTTCCCAACTTTTCACAAGTGGAATAGAATTAATTTTTATTATCATGAAAAGCTAGGTCATCAGGGCATTGAGAAGTCTACAAAAAATTATCAAGACTATTGAATTTAATCACTTTAAATATAAATGCAATTCATCTTTAGAGGTAAAACTTTTTTCTTGAAAAGAACCCTTTGGACAGCATTCAAAGCATATAATGCTGAGGACAGAGCCTGTAAATAGCAGGTACTTAATGTACATTTCCTCCTTTTGTGGATCTCTAAGTTGAAAAACAGTGTTGATGTCATACTATTGAACAAACAGTCCTAAATGAAAATCATCCTGGCCACTTATTAGGAAAAAAATGACATTAATGAAAGCACTGCATTTTACCTTGGACCATTTACTCTCTTTGCAAAGCAGATCTGAATAGTAATACGCCTGCATCCAGTTTTGTTGGAATACATTAATCCACATTAGCTCCCAGTAACAGAGATGGTGAAACTGTTTCCATTCTTCTTGAACTGAAATGCATTTTCGAAATATCTCTTGTGCCTATAAGTCAATTGCATAAAGCTGATCATCCAGATATTAGACAAGGAGATAATAACCTAATGGAAAAATACATAAAACACTTTGTACAAAAAGAACAAAATTACCACTTATTAAACCACTCAATATGATGAAATGTTCCTTTCCTTACATACAATGATACAATTAAGTTCTGCCTCTTTATTTAACTTTGTGAGGGGGCCTTAGTACTTTATAATGTGGGAGTGGGGCAGTTCCATTCCAAGCAAGATGTAAAATATAAACATCCTTTAAGAAAAGACTGACAATGATAAAGTTAGGACACCCACGGGGTAACACACATCTTAAACAAAGATACGGGCAATAGACAGACTGAGAGAAGATACCAATACCTATATAACTGGCAAAAGATTAGCCCCTTAGCATACAACAATTCTATAAAATCCTTTAAGAAAAAGACAATCGATGGGAAAATTAGCAAAGATATAAACAGGAAAATCAGAAAAATATACATATGAAGAAACTTTACATGGGCAATTATAAATTTAAAAATTAGATTCTCATTTTTAGTCAACACATTGGCAAAAATTAAAAGATGAATGATGTCCAGAGTTGGCAAAGAACACATCACAACTTTATGAGAGTTTAGGTTGGAACAACCTTAAGCAAGGAGGGCAAGTTGGCTGGATTTATCAAAATGCAAACATCTTTTGCCCAGAAATTCTAATACTCAGAATCTGTCTTCAAGAAATATACCTGTGCACAGAAATACACGTACGATGATGTTTACAATGGCATTGTTTATAGTGGCCAAATGTCTATGAACAGTGGACCACTCTCATGAGTATAGTATGTCCATCCCATAAAATGAAACCCAGCCATCAAAAGAATGTGGGAGATTTAGATATACTGACCTGGAAAAATATCCAAGATGTATTGTAAATAGAAAAAAACAAATTACACAAAAATACACATTTGAGCCCATTTGTGTGGAAGAAAACTGTTTGTGAATGTATTTATATGAATGGCTCCTCACTTTTCTACTTCTGACCCCAATGTTTCCTTCTTTGAGGGAACTGGTGAACAATTTCCTTTGATGAGGAGCTGCACGTAGCAGAGAGAGCTGCATCGTACACAGGGGCTGGATTCCAAAGCCCATGTGTAATGCAGAAACTGATAATACTCAAAAGTTTTTTGAAAATCCCTCAGATTGCTCACCTGGTATTTTGTATATTCTACCCGAATTGCCTCATGCACTTTATGTGTCAATGTAGACTATATTCAGTAATCTACGCTATAGAATGATATATAATAGAATGTATACACAAATTAAAATTTTGGCTCTTTAATTACATTATTTTTTCCTTTACCTTTGTCTAGTCCATATAGCTAAATTAAATGAGTATGTGGCACAACTCCACCATACAGACAACTCTCCCAAATCACTACTGCCAAATAAATTACCTCTTCAATATTCCCTTTTAGCAGCTCTATTCGGGCGTGATAAAACAGCATGAGTGAGCCCTGTGGAAAAGGAAGAAAACACACTGTTGAACGATCGGTGTTCGCTGATTAATTCTGGTTGAAACCTGCACTTGAACTACTAAGCGTACATTTGGAAACTGCTGTAGGAAGGGTGCGAGGAGGCTCTCTGCTTCCACCACATTCACTTCTCCTGTACCTAGGAATTGAACAGGAAAAGCTTCAGTTGTCATGAAACACGGTAGATATTTGTAACTAACTCTCCAAATTTCATTAACATACATAGCAAAGGCCTATTTATAGAAAAGATGAAAACTATTATTTTGTCATTTTTATGCCTGGGAAATAAAATAAAGACAAGTCTCATCTAAAACTTTAGTTTAAAAAAGTTCTAAGAAAGACTCATTAAGAACGGAGGTGGCTGTCTTAGATTTGAATTAGAATTTCTGGTTTTAATGGCAATATTAACTTATTTCACCCAAAAAATTTCACTGTCTTCAAAAAAGAAATCTAATATGACTATGATTAAATAGATCACTTTAATACACAAATTTTAGCTGAGAACACAAGAAAAATATTCAATGAAAGAAACCACCCTATTCCTTCTGCCAAACGTCACTATGACAAATGTCGTATTTTCCATCTTTATTCAAAGAAAAAAAAGGGGAAACAGATATGGACTACTAGCTCTGATTTTTCTAAAGTTTTACTTATGAAGATCAAAGATAATCAACTTTCAATGGAGCGTAATGTGATCAGACCTTACCGAGTATCAGGGAGATGTAAGTATGAAAAGCTAGGATGGTTAAGCAGCACAGTGGAGACCTCATGCTTTTCCCTGACGCACCTTCCCGTAACTGCAGGAGGCCCAACTCCTGTGGGAATTAAATGCATTTTAGAAGGAAAAGAACATGATTGGAAAATTATATTCAGAAACTTTAGAACACTAGTTCATACATCCCCACTATCCATGAAGGTAGAGTTTGGTTTTCAAGAGCTTAGAATAGTGGTAATGCCTAACTAGAAACGAACTTTACATTTTAAACTGGCGCAAATCCTTTTATACATGTGATTCTAGAGAGAGAAAAAGGCAGTGCTCCTTACATAGAAATGCTATATTTCTGATAGTAATATTAAATCATTAAAACATACTGAAGGTCTAAGTACAAGGCACCATGGTAGGTATGAACAAATACGGTCCTATGTCTTCGAAGGTCTTTCCATGAAATAGGGAAGACAGTGCATGAACACATGATCTTATTAGAATACAGTGAGTGCTGTAAGAAAGATAAAATAAATATTTCTGAAAGTCAGGAATACTTGAGCCTCACTGGAAGAGTATGAGGGAGAACTTTGTGGAATAGATGCCATTTATCTCAAACCTAGTAGATGGAAAGACTATCAAGAGAACATTATTTGGGAGGAGGCTGCTTGGGGGAAACATCCAAAACAGAGACCAGCAGAAGCACAGAAGCCGGGAAGCACAGGGCTGTGTGGGGAACAACCAATTGCGCAGTTTAGCAGGAGTACTGGCAAAGCGAAGGGTATGGACACTAAGGCTGGAAGCACTGGCTAGAATCAGACCATGGGGTCCTTGAAGCCATGTTATAGTTTAGGCTTTATTCAGGAAGCAATCTGGAGCCACTGAAGGAATAAGATAGAAGATGAATGGTTAAGGAGAGGGGTGATCATGAAATACGGAGTCAAAGCAGACAGAACATATCGTAACAGGATCACCATAAATACACAAGAGTTAATGAAGAATGTGGACAGCGAAATAGACCGAAAAAACTTACAGCTTGCTATACTTGTTCTCATATATTTCTCAAAACCTGCTCTCCTGACTGACAGAGACAGCTTTTGCGATGAGGCAACTCTTGTAACGCCATATTGAGTGTTACGATTAATAAATATTACATATTCATTATAAAACCACAGCCACATAGAAATTTCATGAATAACATGGAAAATAAATTTCCTCAGTTAGTTTTATAGCAAAACTTATGAAAACATATGGAAATCCAAAATACTGTAACTATGTTGGATCTATGCTATTTGATCTATTAGAATCACAAAATATTAGACATGGAAATATAGCCTAATTTCTTCATTTTACACAAGGCAACTCCGGGATTGCTGAAATGTTAACACGGTATATTTTAACACAAGAGTAATTAAGATCTAGTAAATTATTTTTAAAAATATAATTTTTAATCCCAGAATTTAGGTAACAAAGGTAAAAAATTTTAACTTTCAACAGAAAAATCATATCTAACTCCAAAAAATATGATCAAGGACAAATGGCTCTTTGTAGTCTTGCAAAAAATTGCCTATAATTATCATGCTAGCTATATGGACAGGCTGTATATTGCCTTTGTACTCAATAAATAATGTGTTATCTTCCCTGTCAAAATTAAGAGAAAATTAAATTTGTACCCTGTTTCCAGAAAATCCAATAAATTCTAGTAGTCTGATTATCCTTGCTGGTAAAAGGGACAGCATCTGTAAGAAAATAAAAAACACAAGTGCATTTACATGTTAGTGTATCTAACTGCAGACAAACATTAAATTCTAAACTACTTAATAGTTTTAATGCTTCAATAACATGAAAAATTAGAAACAAATTTCAATCACTAGCTATATCTCAATCATCACACACTGTAGCCATTACTTATGAGTTAATTTCACTTAGCTAAAAAAATGAAACTATAACAACAAAAAAAATTTTTTAAGCCTGGCCTTACTAGAATTCTCTAAATAATACCGCACCTTGTATGTGGAGCGATGAGGTGGTGAGAAGGCAACACCCAGTGCTCACTTCCAGACAGAACTTCTTTCAGCTTCCTTTCCCACAAAGCAAAAATCTACTGTACTTTGTGCGACATGCAGGTACCGCACGGACGTGGGCCGCTGTGACACTACAGACCCTTCCTGGGACATCCTTAAAGGACAGTGGTGATGGGAAATTCTCCCAGTAGGCAGAACCTTGGGCAGTGTGCCTGGTTACGAACTCTGCTTGGAAGGAGAAATGACCATATGTACATATGTGCAATTATATACTGATTCACGGGTTGTGCTCAACAATTTGGCTAGACGGTCAGGGGCTTGGAAGGAATGTGATTAAAAAATTAGTGACAAGGAGGGTTGGGGAAGAAGCATGTGGACAGATCTCTCTGAATGGGCAGAAAATGTGAATACATTTGTGTCCTTTGTGAATGCTCACCAACGGGTGACCTTGGCAAAGGAGGATTTTAATAACCAAGTGATGAAAGGATGACCTGTTCTGTGGATGTCAGTCAGACTCTTTCCCCAGCCACCTGATCACTGCCCAATAGGCTCATGAACAAAGTGGCCACAGTGGCACATACACTCATGCATGTGATTCTCTTGACCACTTCATTTTCTCACCAGTTCCAGTCAAATTTTAATAAAATTTCAAAATCTCTAAATAATACAGTGCAATTTGACAGATTTCTACTCAGACTCTTCATCTCCCCAGAAATCATCAAAAAAAAAAAAAAATCATTCCTCAAAGTTTATCGCTCCCTCACCTTAGGTTCTTCCACTAAAGGTTCTAGTTTCTATATAATTTTTTCCTTACCAAATTAAAGGCCCCAATGCCAAGCTTGACACCCCCTTCAAACTCATAGAAGAATTTCTGCTCAAGTTTGTTCTTCTCAATTTCATGCAAGATTGAAAGACATTCTCTGGATTAAAGAAAAAAAGGTATAGTATAAGCTTACCATAACTTTGAAAATAAATATTAAATCAAATTTCACACTTACACATTATAAAATAAATGTCATTAGCCAAAATACCACAGAATTTTTAAATGGATGATGCCAGGTTGAGTTTGCTATTAAGGATATGGGGTAAGAATCACCAAGGAAAAAGGAGACACCCACTTGTGCAGTGTTTAGCAGGACCTCTTTCTGGGCTTAAAGAGAGGGTTCATCCACCAACAAGCACGACCCAGGACCCACAGCCTACAGGCCTGCGATTTTACATCCTACAGGAGACCTCCCAGAAGTGCTTAGTTCCTCAGTTGCTGTGTACACTTCAGCAATCCGACCTTCCACCTAGGAGCTGAGAAGCTCCTGGCAAGAAGACCTGAATTTCACTGTGAATGCCATGGTCTCAAACAGATTAAATAAATTAGAGCTTGGGACAAGGAAAGACAGAGAAGAAAGCAAAGGCCATCACAACTGCCCCATGTGACCTCTGGTTTCTTCCTGCTCCATCCGTGCAAATCTTTCCAATTGCTCACTATAATTTCTTTTCTATGTATTTCTCTTTCCCATTCACGTCAACTTCAAAAGGTTAAGAAACATAAAACAATGACAAAGATATAAAATTGTTAATAACTGAGAATTGCTTATCAAAGTAACAAATACATATTGTTAAGGGAATAAGGAATAATGAGATACCACGTATCACCTGGTGTGATGCAAATAAAAAGCCGGCAACTTCGCTTATAATATATTCTAACCAAATACTTTTAACCTGAATCTAGCAAGCCTATAGACCTAACTCCCGTTTTAAAAAAAGGTTAAGACAAACCAATTTAGATGCCCAAAAACCTATGAGCATCCCCTGCTGTCATTTATAACCCATTTCCATTTGTACTTATTACGGTGTATTTTGCCATGATTAAATATGAATATTTGGTCAAGTAGATCAATCTCTTCTGATTTCTGACTTTATGTCATGATTAAAAAGGCCTTTGAAATTGACATCATGTACTCACGGATATCACTTCTATGGGATTCTTGCCATAGATTCATAATCTGAATTTAATCAAAAAGAAACACTACATAAATCTACCTTGATAGATGTTCCACAAAGTAACTGGCCAGTATTCTTTTGAAATGTCAACATCATGAAAGACAAAGAAACACTGATGAACTCTTCCAGATTAAAAGAGACTAAGGAGACACAACAACTAAATACAACATCCAGGATGTTGGGTTGGATGCTGGACCAGAAAAGGGACACTGATGAGACAGTTGGAAAAATTTGAGTAAGAGCCATATGTAGTTATTAATATTGTATCAGTGTTAGTTTCCTGATTTAATAATCACACTGTGGTTCTTCAGAAAGCAGGCGTTTGCGAATCAGAGTGAAGGATGCACAGAAATTCCTTGTAATGATTCTGAAATTATTTCTACGGGGATAAAATAAAAAATAAAAGGTTTAAAGGCTTTTATATTTTAGAATTATAAAAATACTTTCCTATGTTTCCTGCTAGAATTTGTAGAAAGTATTTTAATATTAAATTTATATGGAATTTATTTTTGTTTTAATGGTCTTTTTTTCCCCCAAAATGAACAATTTTCCCAAAAACATTTATTAAAGTACCTATCTTTCCCTAATGTTTTGAAAGGGACCTATGTATATATAGAAGTTTGATATATTTCAAATTCCCAGAAATGTTTGTGTGTGTACGCACGTTTGTAAGCACATGTGTGCGCACACACATGCTGTCTACTTTTAAACCCTGTGGTCCATTTTACTGATATATACAGGCATACCTTGTTTTATTAAACTTTGCTTTATTGCATTTTTCATATATTGTATTTTTTACAAATTAAAGGTTTGTGACAGCCCTGCATCAAGAAAGTCTATCAGCACGATGTTTCCAAGAGTACGTGCTCACTTCATGTCTCTGCCACATTTTGGTAATTCTCACAAAATTTCAAACTTTTTCATCATTATTTTATCTGTTATAGTGATCTGTATGTGATCAGCGATCTTCAATGTCACTATTGTAACTGTTTGGGGGCACCACAAACTATACCCATATAAGACAGCGAAATTAATTGATAAATGTTGTGTGTGTTCGGACTACTCCACTGATCGGCTATTCCCCCTCTCCCTCCCTCTCCTCTCTATCCTGAGAGGCATCAATATTGAAAATGGGCCAATTAATAACCCTATAACAGCCTCTAAGCGCTCAAATGAAGAGTGGCCCATCTCTCACTCTGAATCAAAAGCTGGAAATGATTAAGCTTAGTGAGGAAGACGTGTCAAAAGCAAGGACAGCCCAAAAGCTAGTCCTCTTGTGCCAAACAGTCAAGTTGGGAGTGAAAAAGAAAAGTTCTTACAGAAAATTAAAAATGCTACTGCAGTGAACATACAAAGGATAAGATAGTGAAATAGCCTTATTGTCGATACGGAGAAAGTTTGAGTGGTCTGTACAAAAGATCAAACCAGTCACAACATTCCCTTAAGCCAAAGCCTGATTCAGAGCAAGGCCCTAACTCTCTTCAGTTCTGTGAAGGCTGAGAGAGGTGAGGAAGCTGCAGAAGAAAAGTCTGAAGCTAGCAGAGGGTGGTTGATGAGGTTTCAGGTTAAAAATCATCTCCGGCCGGGCGCGGTGGCTCACGCCTGTAATCCTAGCACTCTGGGAGGCCGAGGCGAGGGGGATTGTTTGAGCTCAGGAGTTCGAGACCAGCCTGAGCAAGAGCAAGACCCTGTCTCTACTAAAAAAATAGAAAGAAATTAGCTGGACAACTTAAAATATATAGAAAAAATTAGCTGGGCATGGTGGCGCATGCCTGTAGTCCCAGCTACTTGGGAGGCTGAGGCAGGAGGTTGCCTGAGCCCAGGAGTTTGAGGGTGCTGTGAGCTAGGATGACACCATGGCACTCTAGCCTGGGCAACAGAATGAGATTCTGTCTCAAAAAAAAAAAAAAAAGTCATCTCTATAACATAAAAGCGCAAAGTGAAGCTGCAAGGACTTCTGTAGAAGCTGCAGCAAGTTATCCGGAAGATCTAGCTAAGATAATTGATGAAGATGGCTATGCTAAACAACAGATTTTCAATGCAGATACAACAGCCTTCTAGTAAAAGAAGATGCCATCTAGAACTTTCATAGCTAGAGAGAAGTCAACGTGTGGCTTCAAAGTACAGGATGATTCTCTTGTTAGGGGTAATGTAGCTGGTGACTTTAAGTTGAAGCCAATGCTCATTTACCATTCTGAAAATCATAGGGCCCTTAAGAATTATGCTAAATCTACTGTGCCAGTGTTCTATAAATGGAACGGCAAAGCCTGTATGAAAGCACATCTCTTTACAGCATCGTTTACATAATTTGAAGCCCAGTGTTAAGACCTACTGCTCAGAGAAAGAGATTCCATTGAAAATATTACTGCTCATTGACGATGTACGTGGTCACCTGAGACCTCTGATGAAGATGTAGGAGATTAATATTGTTTTCCCGCCTGCTAACACAACATCTATTCTGCAGCCCATAGATCACGAAGTAATTTTGACTTTCAAGTCTTATTAAAAAATATGTTTTGTAAGGCTATAGCTGCCATAGATAGTGACTTCTCTGTTGGATCTATGTAAAGAAAATCGAACCTTTTGGAAAAGATTCACCATTCTAGATGTCACTGAGAACATTCGTGATTCATGCAAGGAGGTAAAATTAGCAACATTAACAGAAGTTTGGAAGAAGTTGATTCCAACCCTCCTGGATGACTTTGAGGGGATGACTTCAGTGGAGGAAATCACTGCAGATGTGGTGAAAATAGCAAGAGACCTAGAATTAGAAGTGGAGCCTGAAGATGTGACTGAATTGCTGCAGTCTCACGACACAATTTGAACAGATGAGGAGTTGCTTCTTAGGGATGAAGAAGGAAAGTGGTTTCTTGAAATGGAAAACTACTAGTGGTGAAGGCGCTGTGAACACTGTAGAAATGACAACAAAGTGCTGTGGTGGTCAAGAACAGTTGAGACCACCACTGAACATAGCTAGCATAAGAAAGCATAGGTGAGAACTTGAGCACAAGACCAGCTGCCTTTCTAAAGGTCAGGATATGTCGTGAGGCAGGAGATGTTGAAAGCAACAGCTCACCCTAGGGCGGAAAGCCACCCTGGGACTGCTTAATGAAGTGTCCAGCTGGATGAAAGGCAGCCGTGACTTGTGGCTCACAGTTAATGAGTTTGTTTAATAGAAGGCTAGAAATAGCTTAGCCTAGATCAATAGCTTTGTAAAGAAAAATGTGTAACTAGAAGATACAAATCTTTGCTGGATTCTTTTAAGATCACATACATGATGTATGTCCTTCTTTATGGTCTAATGATTTCTTGCTTTTGATTGCTAACAGAATGGAAAACTTCCAGCACCTGCTTTTGTATACCTGCTTTAGCTTGATTGATGAGATTGTTTTGTTAAGAGAAATAAATACGAGTGAGGAGCTCAACTTGGGCCTCTTAGTCTGGAGAAGCCTTGAGTCCCCTGACCCCACTCTTTCTCTTCTATTGTCTCTTTTTTCTTATTCCTGCGCAACGCCCTGTCTTCGACCCTGTCGGCTGGGGAATCCCTGGCAACAAAGGATTCAGAATAGTACATAAACTTAGTTGATAAAGCAACAGCAAGGTTTGAGAGGATTGACTCCAATTTTGAAAGGCATTCTACTGTGGGTAAAATGCTATCAAACAGCATGGCACACTACAGGGAATTCTTTCATGAAAGGAAGAGTCAATCGATGCAGCAAACTTCTTTGTTGTCTTATTCTAATAAATTGGCCAGCCACGGTGGCTCATGCCTATAATCCCAGCACTTTGGAAGGCAAGGCAAAACGATGGCTTGATGCCAGGAGTTCCAGATCAGCCTGAGCAACACAGTGAGACCCCATCTCTACAAAAAATTTAAACACTAGCTAGGTGTGGTGCCACATGCTTGTAGTCCCAGCTATTCAAGAGGCTGAGGCAGGAGGATCGCTAGAGCCCAGGAGGTCAAGGATACAGTGAGTTATGATAGTGCCACTGCACCCCAGCCTAGGTGACAGAGTGAGATTGAGACCCTGTCTCAATTAGTCAATTAATCTACCCCAACCTTCAGCAACTACCACCCGGATGAATCAGCAGCCATCAACATAGAGGCAAGACCTTTAACCAGCAAAGAGATTATGGCTTGGTGAAGAATCAGATATTCATTGGCAATTTTTAGTAATAAAGTGTTTTTAAATTAAAGTATGTACATTGTTTTCTTAGACATAATGTCACTGCACATTTAATAGACTACAGTATTGTGTAAATATAACTTTTAAATGCACTGGAAAACCAAAAAATTTGAGTGACTCACTTTATTGAGATATTCACTTTATTGCAGTGGTCTGGAACAGAAGCCATAATATGAGGTATGCCTGTATGTCTTGGCCATTACAGGACTATTTTCATTCCTTTAGTTTTTTTAAGTTTTGAGGACTAGAACAGCAATTAACATTCAATTTAACATTCTTTTATATCTTCTAAACATATGTCAAAAAGAAATCTAAAAATAGTATGACAGGTGCCCAAAATCTACCAACCCCCTTCCAGGATTTTGAATGGAACACAATTTTATGAAATGATTTTAGGTAAAAGTACCCCTTAAAACATTAAATTTTGGTTCTTCTTCCAGTAATGGCAGTGTAGCTTATGTTAGATTAACCCTCCCACAAATAACAATTATAAACTCTGGAAAAAATATAAAATATGTATTTAAAGTATATTTGTAGATAGTAGAAAGCAAAGGAAAAAAAATAGAAGGAACCTGGAGAAGAATCAAACCTTTAAAGAAGGGAACAACTATTGTATAAACGTTACATTTACACAGCTATTCACCCCAAAGCATTCCCCAATCTATTCAATGTGGGGCACCTAGAACTCAAATGGAAAGTCACAGTCTTACTGGCTTCAAAAGCCAGAGTACAGAGGTCAAGACTGCGAGAGTCGCTGTCAGGTGATGGGAAAACGTCCACACATGGGAGAACCACACAGGAAGGGAACACCAAAATCTGTGTTAAAACTCCTCTCAAATGCTTGGCTGACCCATGAACTATGTGAACACTGGGGAAACTCCAAGGAAAAGCAGGAGCAAGACAGCAGAAAGAGTGAAACACAGATTTCAGATGCTGCTCACTACTGGAAAGTAAGAATTTGGAGTCTAAATCTAGTCAAATTAAATGCTTCCTGGAACAAAAATCAGCACTCTTCAGAGAAAGGATAAAACAATACAGACTCTCTATAATGTGTCAATATCTAGTGTACACTAAAAAATTATTGAATATGAGAAGAAATAGAGAAATATGACATACAGTCAAGAGAAAAAACAATCAGTAGGAACCAACTCCAAGATGACCCAGATGTTGGTATAATATCCAACCCGAAAAAAATTTTTTTTAATGAATAGCATCTTAGTGACTTATTGAACAAAATCAGGCAGACTAACACGTGTAACTGGAGTCTCAGAAAGAGAGAAGAGAGTAAGAATGGGGAAGAAAACAAATATTTGAAGAAATAATAACCATAAATTTCTCAAAACCACACTTAGACACATCAAAGTCAAATGGCTGAGACCCAAAGATGCAAAATAGTCAGGCTTCAAAAAAGGCAGAAGAAATGACACATTAGACATAAGGGAACAATTATGCAAATGACAACTGATTTCTGATCACGAATAATGGAGGCCTTAATAAAATGGAATGGTAGTTTCTCAAAGGCTGAAGGAAGAAACAACAACAACAAAAACCCTGTCAACTCAGAATACTATAGTTAGCAAAAATATCCTTGAAAATGAAGGCAAAAGTAAAGATATTTTGAGATAAATAAAACAGAGAATTTGTTGAAAGCTGACACACACTACAAGAAATGCTAAAGGAAGTTCTTCAGTCTGAAAGTAAACAGGAATGAATGAAGAATACCAAAAACGGTAAATATATGGGTAAAGGGAGAAGACTATAACATATGACTGTTCAAAGCAAAAAGTTTGGCACTGTATTGTAGGATTTATGATATATGTAAGTGTACTATACATCATAAGAATAGTAAAAAGGAAAACAGGTGATAAAACTATACTTTTGCAAAGTTCTTGTATTTTATGTGCAGTGCTACTATATTAACTTTAAGTTGACTGTGATGAGTTAAGGAGGATATTATAATCACTAGAGCAAACACTAGAAACAAGTAAAGAGATATAGCTAAGAAGACAATAAAGGATTACATCATTTTTTAAAAAATTTTACTAAAGCAAAAGAAGACAGCATAAGGGGCAGGGAACAGATGAGGCAAAGAGAAAAACCAAAATGGTAGTCACAAGTGCAAACATATCAATTGCCCAATTATGTGCATGTATAAGAAATGTAATTTAAATATAAAAACGAAGATAGGTTTAAAGTAAAAGAATATATACCATGCAAACACTAACTATAAAAAGCATGACTGACTATACTAATGAGACAAAATAGATTTCAAGACAAAGAATATTATCAGAGTTACATAAGGACATTTTATAATGATAAAACGGTTGGAAGACAGAGCAATTATAAATAACATATGAGCCTAACAACAAAGCTCCTAAATCTACAAGGCAAACGCTGACAGAACTAAAGTGAGAAATTGATGACTGTAGATTCAAAGTTGGAGATTTTAACACTCTGAGAAAATGACAGAACTAGACAAAATCAGTAAGGATATAGAAGATATGAACAACATTATGGGCCATCTTAATTGTACATTTCCATCCACTGCAGAAAGTTCTATTGGGTAGAGTTGCTCTAGAGTCTGAACCAAAGACATACTTGTTATTTTAAATTTATAAATCGCTCTTAGAAGAGAGAAACTAAGATTATCTAATCAGAAATTATATCAGAAAAAAAGATATGTCAGTAGTTTTCTTTTTAGGTATTTTGCTCTTAAAATTGTATTTAAACTTGAATCTGTTGTCCTATGGCACTGAATATATACTCAGCCAATAATGAAGTGTATTTCTACCAAAATCAAATAAAAAAACCTAGTCATACTTAGTTTATGAAAATCTTGAAGAACAAAGTAGTACATAGCACAAAATTACTTAAAAACCATATCTTACTTTTAAACTTACTTATATATTTGGTAACTTGTTCTAATTTTGAGTCCACCTTTGATGAAGTTGATCATATTTTCATCCTGAAAATAATTCAATTAAATAATTAGATCATTTACCGAAAAAATTTAAACTGTCCCCACAGTTGTACATTTCTGGGATTAGGAAAAAAGAAACCTATCCTTTGAGGACATAATTTTGAAATTAGCACATTCTTCTTGCTATACATGCAAGAAATGCGAAATTTTTTTGTAATTTTTCTTCCAAGTTAGAGGACAACAAAAACTATTTTAAAAATCTTTGCATTACTTTATATTACTAAGGAGGTAATCCTCACCAATTAGCGGCCATATGTAGCCCAAACCTACTATAATAAACATCAATATCTACCAAGCAATTCTCTCCTGGGTTCAACAAAATCCAAAATGGTTGACTTTAAGGATCTGCTCTAAGGCCAACTTTTCCAGCCCATCATACCCAGCAAACATAACTATGGTTCTTCTTTCACAGGGTACTTTAGCAGGTAAAGTCTAATTAACATTGTGAATTTCATTCATACACATTTTCAGACCAAAAATAACTGGTCTGGTTTTTAAAGTGGCTGTCACTAATATGCAATTTTGTTTTAGGGGGAAAAAAAACCACTTTATTTCTCTTTGTCTGATGGTCATTGACCATAAAATTGATGCAGTTGGCCTAGATGAATGGCATTTTCAGGGTCAGCATTCTAGGATTATAATCCTCTCAATAAATTATATCAAATAACTGCTTGAAGGAAGTTACTCTAATAATGGTGCTAGTGGAGACAGTCCCATGTTTCAAATTTCCAAGGAGAATGTTTTTCTAGTCCATTGATATCAGAAAGATGTTCTAGTATTTACTTCCTTTGTACTTAAGCATCCTTCTGAAGCAAAAGAAAAACTGAATTTAGTTTACTAATTTCATTAATTACTTAAATATTTCACATTCTAATTATAAGATTCAATAGATACAAAATTCACTATACAACTGAAATATTTATCTTATTCTAAGGAATCTTATGATTACACAAGATCCAATACTGAGCAAGAAAGAATTTCTTAAATTAGCTTAAAATCTGCCTCAGAAAAGAGTATTTCATTTCACGATTTATCAAACACTTACCAAAAGCCTATTTTGTCCCAGGCACCCAAATGCAAAAACAGACAAAGGCAATACAATGTGCTCAGGGATGAAGCCATGCACAGGGGAGGGGGAAGGAGGCATGCACAGGATGTCACGACAGCACGTTTCTGAAGACAACCAGAAACGCCTCCTGGAAGCACAGATGCTTAAAGCACAAAAATGGTTAAGAAGCAGCCAGGTGAACAGAAGCAAAGCAGATGTGAATTCTGTAAGCAAAGGAAGACTCAGGTGGAAAGGCAAGAAAGCATTAAAGATTATGGTGGGTTTGGTCATGTGAGTGTATGTAACTCAGCACTGCTGAAGAATCCATTGCAAAAAAGGGAATGACCAAGGAGTAAGACAACTACCTCCATCCATGCCACTCAAGTATGCAATATACCCCTGTTGGGGGCATCCGAAGACATCCGTAAGACGGGGAGTAGGGAATTTAGGGGGAGGCACCAGTTTCATTTGAACTCCACCCTGTTTGTGGCAGTCTGATACAGAATACCGCCATAGTTGATCAGAGCTACTAAATGCTAGAGTAGAGGAATGGCCGGGTCAGAGTCTCATTTTTGAGAGGGCACTCAATTGCAGAATAGAGAATGAACTGGAGGTGAAAGAAATTAGAGACAGTCACCAGGCTGCCATACAGTGACTACACGAGCACCCCTACTAGAATAATGATAGAATAGAAAGGAAGAGAGATGGAGCTGTGAAATCTATAAAAGGCAAAAGCGGCATGAATACGAAAGTAACTGGGTACGGGAGCATGAGGAAGAGGGAAAAATCATGGCTATCTCCCAGATGTTTAATTTCAAGTCCCCAAATATAAAATAAGCCTTCAAACCCCAGATTTGATTGCCAAATCCCCATTTGGAAAACATATCAGAAAACAATTTGGACCTCCGTGACTATCATGACAATGTTTACTGAGGCAGTAAGACCGTTGTTATCAACCAGCCTGTGTAATGGGTAGGGTTTTAGGAAACAGGGTCATGGACCACACTGATTCAATTTCACTAAACCAGATCCCAATCTAAGAGGTCAATCTGCAGAGAAAGAAAGAAGTAACTCCCAAAATAATTTAAAAGGTTCAGACTGAGGAAGATTTTCTATTTTATTGCTGAATTTCTTTCTGACTCCTTACAATCTCCACCCCACCACTCCAGCCCTGTAGCCATCACTACCACCCATGAGGCCACTATGTGAAAATCTATGTTTTTTAGAAGTTTTGGAAGATAGAGAAATAGGCAAGTGCTGACTGTAACAGTTCCTAAAGGTGATATTAAAATGCCACATAAGGATTCATTGTTTTGTTTAGTGACTTTTTAAAATCGCTCTTCCAAAAGAAGAAATAAAAGCAAGAAAAAGGCAAATGAGAATAGAAAAAAAGGGAAAAATAAAATCTGAAGTATACATGGAAAGTTTGGCTACCTATGCATGTGTAAGTGAACTTGGCTGAAGCAGATGGTGCAAGGAGGGAGTGGCCAGGATCAAGGATTCCACCTCTGCCTGGGCCACGCCCATGCAGATAAATCCTCTACCAGTAGCAAGCGCATAGAGGAATAATCTCAGTTTTCACACGGAAGCATCCAGAAATTAGGTGTGGCAGTTGCAAAGCAGTTTCTTTAAAGGACAGTGATTCCCAGCAGATTGAAATTCTAAATGGACTTTAGGTGCATTTAAGTAAGAATAAAGCTCTCTGGAGTCTTTTTAACAGCCAGCTTTTATCAGAATAACAAACAAACATCTTTCATTGTCATTCTAAGTCAAAAGAACTGAAGCACCAACATAGAATGAGCCACATTTTTCTATGCAGTACTGGCAGTCTTCCCAGCCAATACTAATTCTAAGCCAACCTTCATTACCTGCACAAACGTGAGTGCTGCTTTCTGCAGGAGACACTCGGCATAACAGATTTCGGCATGCATTTCCTCTATTAAAAACAAATAAAATTATATTAAGGAAAATCCCATGTCCACCATAATTGCTCTGAGATGTTCAGGAAAGACTGGTAGATAAATGAATCCAAGAGAGACACAAAAACCTAGGTTGCTTTTGTTCTTCCATAAAAGCAAAATGATAACCTCAATTCTTGGTCCTCCAGCAAGATTTTCCTGGAATATATACAATGTTTGGGGAAGTTATCTTTGGCCCATTCAAACATAACTGCAAAGAGTCAGGCACTTAGTATCAGAGACTCAAACTCAGCTCATAAGAGAAAACCAAAATTTAAAAGCACTTTTTTAAAAAAGGAAATCACTTATTTTTTAACTTAATAGTAACATGAAAGTTTAACACAGTTAGAAAGATTGAAAAGTAAATTTATGAATTCTAACTTCTAAAATACAAAGGTGTGATAATTATGACAACAACTAGACACATTATTAACCTAAAGAGAAAGCAGCAATTCTTCTAGGGTCCTGTGGAAAAGAATTGTCCTGCACGCCCAAGTTAGACTTCATCACGCATAGAAGGCTTGATATAAAGAGTTCGCACTAACCCAGTTCCAGGCTAATTTCATCATTTAGCTGTCTAGCACAAGAAAAACGCACCAGGGTTAGGTAAAGCTACATACATTGCAAGGACATAGGGAATGCCAGTGCCCCAAAACACATGTCCTCGCTTCATAAACAATCCATTATACTTGGACTGCGGAGTCAAATCTTTACATTTTGTATACATAAAGTCAGCAGATTCCTGCTTTTTTCATGGGATGCAAATTGGTATGGTATTTAAGTGAATGAGCCTGAAGTGTTTAATAGCCTAGGTTGGTGGAAAGGTTCTACCATGTGTTAGTTTAGTTATAGGACCTTGAGCATGCTACCCTACCTCTCTCTGCTGGTCTCCTCATCTATAAAGGCCACTAATAACATCTGTACTTCACAGTGGAAGGACTAAACAAGGCGCTGCGTGTAGAGCTTGCTATATAGAGTAAGCACTTGATAAATGCTAGCTACTTTCACTAAGATTATTGCCCTTGGCCATGTCAGTCCTTGGTAAAAGCTCAGAAAGCATTTTTATGTTGAATAAGTAGCTGGAAAATAGGCTATTTCTGTGTTATTGGGAATGCTATTGAATACAACTAGATAAGAACACTGCTTTCTTGTACTTACACACACAGACCCCACCCCCACCCTACACACATACAACCCACTGCTTCTCACGAATTGGTCCAAACTACTGCCACACTCATATTCCAAATGTTTAATTTACAAAGAAGCAACTCTGCAGCTAAGATCCCCTCCAGCACACAGATAGATGGGGTCAAACCCATGACAGCTGCAACCTGTGCGCATTCTAGCAGCATCCACGGTCAGGGTCTCGGTCCTTCGGAATGCTTCCCCTCCAAGTGTGCCTCTTGATTTTCTTGGTGTGTTCAGTGGGACACTAACTGGTAATATTTTTACATAGCCACCAGAATGTCTTCTTCCTAGGTAACTTTGTAACAAAGTGAGAATGTCCGGAATTATTAACTAGGAAAGTCTTGCTCGGAAGCATAGATTGCTGGCTTGGGGCAGGTGCAGAGGGGATGAGGTTGGTGGTGGTGGAGGACCAGCAGGAGGTAAGGCATGGAGCAAGGAAAGCCCAGAGCACCTACAGGGAAAGGCCAGGCTGTGTCAAGGAAGGAGAGGGCAATGAGGCTGGAAAGGCAAGTCGGGAATCACTTGTGGTCAGCCTTGAATGTCAGGTGAGTCTGGGCTTGGTTTAGTAAGCAACAGTGAGTCCTTGCAGAGATCTGGGCAGAAGGGTGGACAGATCAGGGTTAAGCTACAGATGGACAAATCTAAGAGCAGCAAAAGGATGTAACAAGAAGGCAGAGAGAAAAAGCAGGAGACTTTGAACTCTGTATTCCACAAATAAGTATTCTTCACAGTAAATCCCTTTCATATCCTAGGCACTGCAGTAAGTATCTGTTTTTAAAGGCAATTTAAAACCCAGTCAGGGCAATCCGCCAGGCACAAGAGAAAAGAGTTGGTGCATTTCACGTTAAACCCATGAAAAGTTTAATGAAATATACACACTCCTGCAGACAAGGAGACACTCAAGGATGTAAATGAAAATTACCAAGAGGAAAAACAAATCACACGCTGAAGCTACAATGTTTTGACATGCTCCCTCGAACACAAAGTCTGTTTGGTTTGCAGTGACAGCCAAACTCACTAGGAATGAAACACAACTTGATTTGTAAGTCTCATTCTTTCACCACGGTTGATTTACATTGTGCAATTTCTTAGTTCTCAGAATTAATCATTAGGTATTTATGAGTACGTACCTACCAGAATCAATTATAAATTCCTTAGTCCACTGAAGAAAATATCTTCATGATGCACTGAAATGCTAGCTAAGTACAGCCTTTAGATAAAAAAGTCTAAACAAACCTGTATTTTAGAATAGGCTAAAGTCACAAGCTAGTTTATTTGTTTGTTTGTTTGTTTAGAGACAGGGTCTTGCTTGGTCGCCTAGGCTAGAGTGCAGTGGTGTCATCATAGCTCACTGCAACCTCAAAACCCCTTAAAAGATCAGCCTCCCAAGGCTGCCTCAGCCTCCTGAGTAACTGGGACTACAGGCATTTACCACCACACCCAGCTAATTTTTTTCTATTTTTTGTAGAGATGGGGGTCTCACTGTTCCTCAGGCTGGTCTTGAACTCCGGGCCTCAAGCAATCCTCCCGCCTTGGCCTCCCATAAGTTCTAGGATTACAGGCATGAGCCGCCACGTCTGGCTTATTTTTTAATAATTAGTAAAAAGTAATTTTCTACCTTTTTCCAGATTTCCTAAAGTACCATTAACTAAAGATATTATAAAAAGAAAACAATATCATCTATTTGCAATACAACTAACACAGAAATAATTCAACATTTCACTCATCCAGATAAGATACATTTTGTGCCCTTTTCTACTCACCTACAGGAGAATATGTGCGTTACAGTGGAAGAGT